GGTGCCACACGCCGGCCTAGGGTTCCAATTCCTAAGGATACAGGTAAGAAAGAGGAGGTCCATCGAGTGGAGGTCCCAAAGGAAAACACCGATCGAACGGACGACAGGGTGACGACGGTTCGAGGAGGTCAGTGGAGCTCCCAAGGTCCAAGCGCTCAAGGAAAAGCACCGATGCATTAGCGGCTTACTGCAAAACACAGCATTGGAACAGCTTGTCCATTAAGTAGGTTGCTCTCCACGCAGGTACGTCAATCCGGCGTCCCGGATTGATTTCACCAGCACACATCCAGTGTCTTCGTTGGTGCAAGACTGGATGGGCTGCTTGCACCCCCTGCTGTAAAATAAACAAATGCAAAAGCATCCCTATGACTCCAAAAGGTGACACACCCACGCCTCCCCGAGGGGAGGCATCTCTTTGCGCCTAGTAGTGAGGCCAGGAACCCCTAGAAGCACCAAAGTAGCATCCAAGTAGTAAGGCCAGGAGCCCCTAGTAGCAACCCACACTAAGGTCCTGACGGGAGGGAGGGGTAGGGAGAGAAGAGAGAAAGAAAGAGAAGAAAGGAAAGGGGAAGAAGGTGTTCCCAGCTACGACACAGGCGTCCAGGGACACACCAAAGGAAGAGAGGAAAAGGGTTCCCAGCTATGACGAAAGCATCCAGGGACACCCAAGGAAGAGGGTAAAGAGAGGAAAGAGAGAAGGAAAGAAAGAGAGAGGGAGAGAGAGGGAGAGGAGAGAAAGGAAGGTGTTCCCAGCTACGAACAATCGTCCAGGGACACACCAAAGAAAGAAAGGGGAGATCCTGAGTATTCCATTCAGGAAAACCCCAGAAAGCAAAGAAAGGGGAAGGGAAGGGGGAGGAGGGGGGGACTAAGCTCGCGACAGGTTCCAAGGAACCTCAAAAGTACTTCGGTCGCTCTGACCACGTTGAGGCGTTAAGCCAGCTTGGACCGCTGCGGTCACGTAAAGGCGTAAGCCAACTTGGAATTCCAAAGATGGGACAAAAATCATCGGACGTACGGCCTAGGCCACCTACGCTCGCTGCGAGCTGCTCTGTATCCGGGCAATGGATACGTTCGACGTACACCCGTTCGACGGGTCCACGGGAGGCACTCTGCGGGCTCATCCCGGGTTGGCGCGAGGCCAAACACACTTGAGATATTGTGTACGGAACTGAATGCGGTGCCACACGCCGGCCTAGGGTTCCAATTCCTAAGGATACAGGTAAGAAAGAGGAGGTCCATCCAGTGGAGGTCCCAAAGGAAAACACCGATCGAACGGACGACAGGGTGACGACGGTTCGAGGAGGTCAGTGGAGCTCCCAAGGTCCAAGCACTCAAGGAAAAGCACCGATGCATTAGCGGCTTACTGCAAAACACAGCATTGGAACAGCTTGTCCATGAAGTAGGTTGCTCTCCACGCAGGTACGTCAATCCGGCGTCCCGGATTGATTTCACCAGCACACATCCAGTGTCTTCGTTGGTGCAAGGCTGGATGGGCTGCTTGCACCCCCTGCTGTAAAATAAACAAATGCAAAAGCATCCCTAGGACTCCAAGGGTGACACACAAACACACACACACACACATCGCACACAGAGACCCACGCACTGCCTCAACTTACTCGGACACACACACATACGCAGACTCATATACACACGGACATAGATACACACACAGAGACCCACACACTACCTCAACTCACTCGACTTAACACTTCACACTGCACACTTAAGAGGTAACTCGCACTCTGACTTCCTACGTGATGAAAAATGCTTTCGGGCCACTCGTCGTCTAGTTGCTAACCCTTCCATGTTTTTGTGTGTTTTGTGTTCCAAAGTGACCCATGTTTTGTGTTCCATTTCGAACTAAAGCCCTGTGTTCCAAAGTGAACTAAAACTTGTGTTCTGAAGTGACCCCGCTTCCTTTCTGGGGCCTAGACTTTTAGACAGTGGCGAAGTTGATTCGCCTGTGCTTCGTGCCAATCTGAGTGTGACCGGTTCGGTTTCGGTGTCAGGCAGATGGTTTGTGATTGGCTTTTTGTTTGTGTTTTCCCTTTTTTTTAGGCCAGACACAGTGCAACCGCGTGAAATTTTTTTTGGCAATCAGTTTTTTGCGCACTTTACATGAAGGAAATTTATAAAAATGTGAATTTGAAACCGGCAGGGGGTATCCTCCAAATGTATTTTTTGCTGTTGAATGTGATGACAGATTGAGAATACTGAATGCAGACAACATGGGGCTGAATCTCAATGGAGAATGGGTCAGAAATTGAGGCCAAGTCCCGTCAATGTCTTGTATTGTGCAGATGCTAAACATCTAATACATGACCAAACGCAAATTTTGAGAAAACCAACATTTTGCTTATTGCAGGGAACCCTTGCACTCAACTCACCACCGCAGAGAGAGAGACCATGGAATTTTGGGAGTTGCAGGACCAAATAGTTGTCTCTTCTTTGTAGTGCAATGTGTATTGAACACATTATGCCTGTTTTATCCTAATGCAGTCATTGGAATTCTTGTTTAAAATGCCGGATCAATGAAGCAAATGCAAATTGAAATTATGTGTAAATGCCTGGGATCTGAGCCAAGCAAACACACAAATACACTTTGGTGTGCCTCCTCGTGCTGTACGATCATGTGCATTCTTGCAAAACAACCACGAGTTTGTGGATAGGGATACTCAGGTGTTTGACTCCGGGAGTATACTATCGGCGATGGCCAAAATTTCTTGCAGTGATGTCATTCAATAGTCCTGTTCAGAAAGATGATGCCATTTCCGATGTTGTCCGCTTTTTGATAACCCACAGATTGCCCTTTCGTTTATTGACTAATGAAGAAGTGCCTAGAACAGCCAAAGCAATGATTCTCGTCTTCCAAAGCAGTCAATTCAAGCGTGTGTGTCGTTCCACTGTTGGGCTTGAGAGTTTGGCCGTCCATCATTCGCATATGTGACCGATGCCAAACCAGTGCTTGATTATCTCCGGAAGGACGCAACAAGCACTTCAACCGATAAAAAATGGCCATAGAAGGAGTATTGCTCAGAGAGACAGTTCGAGGGCCCATTTGATGGGTTGATGGAAGGGAAAACATTGCAAATGTGCTCACAAAGGCTAACGCAGAACAAGACTGTTTTGCAAGAATTTCTGAGGAGCGGCAAGCTGACCCTGGTGCAGACAGAAGGGAACAAGCAGCTCAAAGAGAATAAGCGTTTGCAAACACAAGCTCGCAAGGTTGTTCTCGATGCAAAAACACAAAGTCAACAAAAATATTACGAGTGTGAAAACAACCAGTGAGTTCGAGGCTGCAGTTGTTTTGCAGCCGATTCAAGAACCAGGTGCCAAGCATGACAAAAGCCAGGTGTTCGATCGGGCCGCATGTGCCCCAAGCTCCGGATGACGCGCGCAAATCACAACAAAAATGTACCACCACATGTTTCAATGGCTAATGACATAGTTTCACTTTACTTTCGTGTATCGTTGGTCGAAAAGGTTCGCTTGCCCGCTACCAGTGCGCGAATCCATTTCTGCGGCTTGGGTTTCTTTTATCTTCCACTGTTATGTTTTGAGTCACCACCTGTCATTTGTCCGTTTCCACCACATGTGGTTTAAAAAAACAAGTATATACATATAGCGCTAAATGGATCAAGTTTAGAATCCTTTAGTTGTCAAACATGGCGGAGGGCAGTGACGAGAGGTTCGATGGCGTCCTGTTGAACATCGCACAACAGTCGGGTTCCATCGACAGCATCCTGGACGCTTTCTTCGGCTTCTTGCAGAGGAAGACAGACTTTTTCACCGGGGCGCAGGATGAGCAGGCAGCTGAACAGATGGTGCTCAAGTACTACAAGAAACATTGGAAGGTTGGACAGAAGAAGCGGCAGGAGCAGCAGGAGCGCAATCGAGCTGCTGATGAAGAGAGAAAAAGGAAAGCTGAGGAGAAGAAGCAGAAGGATGAAGCAGAGTACCGAAAGCGGATGGAGGAGGCGGAAAAGAGGAAAGCCGCACCCCAAATAGAGGAAGTCACAGACGAAGAAGCTAGCAAGATCAAGGCTAGCAAAGAAAAGGATGACGAAGAGGCAAATGATGAAGATAAAGAGGATAAAGAGCCTCCTCCACTTGGCAATGGGGGCACCACAGACAAATACACCTGGACACAGACGCTTAGCACGCTGGAGGTCTTTGTTCATGTGCCACCAGGGGTGAAGGCCAAGGAGATCGTTTGTGACATTGGAGGAGATACCTTGAAACTAGGTGTCAAAGGAGCGCCTCTGATTTTGAATGGCAAGATGCATTCAAAGGTGAAGCCTGATGACTGCATGTGGACCTTGATCGACAACAAGACGGTGCAAATTACATTGGAAAAGTTCGACAACATGAAGTGGTGGAATTGTTTGATGGAGGGGGACCCTGGCATTGACACCAAGAAGATTGTTCCAGAGAACTCCAAACTGTCTGACCTGGACGGCGAGACTAGAATGACAGTGGAAAAGATGATGTACGATCAAAGGCAGAAATCTTTGGGGAAACCCACTTCCGACCAGGAGAAGCAGCATGAGCTGCTGGAAAAATTCAAAGCAGTTCATCCAGAGATGGACTTCTCCAAGGCCAAGATCAACTATGGTGGTGGCGGAGGCTTTAACATGTAGACTACCACACCACTGGATCAGCAAGTGCCAAACAGCTTGGGTTGCAGATGTGCCCTGCAATGTCAGTGCGATCTCGAGGGTCAAAAGTCTCAAGCTTTGTCGCAGAAGGCTTTCCATAAAGCGCTAAATCCGTTTTGCTTCATCTTCCGTGGAGTTGGAAGAAACACATGCAGCTGCAGCATTTCAGTGTTTTGGAGGACACATATTTGATTCAACCACCGCGATAGCTTCAGTTTTCAGTGCGAAACAAACAAGATCCAGAATCGCTGATGAATTTTTCAATCAATTCATTAGTTATCCAATGGGTTTGCACGTGATTGTTCTTGAACTACAACCCAAAAAGTTATTTCATGTGCCAAAATCCACATTAAACCGGGCTGTCCTCGTGCTATGCGTGGCAAGAACTTGCACGTGCCTAGGCACGTGGGCGGAATTCAACCCGTGGGCGAATTGGGGTAGTTTTCGTTCTAATCCGTGACACAAGTTGAAGGCTCTCTTGTTCCCAAACAAACAAACAAACAATCAAACAAACACATGAACAAACATTGGTGGTCGATGTTCATTCAATAAGTATGGAACTTTCAGCACCACGGTCAAAACATGGAATTTTCAGGATTGCATGTTTTTGGAACTTGCCCAAACTCTCCAGGTTTCGGTGCCTGGGTGCAGCTTTCTTGCTGATGACACTTGGATTGAAACACTTACTTTGAGTTGCCTTGGCCGTTGATTGTCAAACACATGCCATCCCAACGTTTCTCTTGAGCAATAGGGCCCCAAACAGATTAGACATGAACACATGAACTGCTATCATTTCACCTGAGCTTTGAGGCTCGGAACTGGAAAGGCAGGGATTTTCTGAAGATTATTTTTGTTGTGTTTTATCCTTTTTGTTGCTTTTGTGCACTGGAAACTTGAAGACTTTGATGACATTTTCGACAATTCATGTTCAGCAAGGAAAGGCAGGTAGTTCTGTTGTAGTTCTTTAAGCATTCAGTTGTGTCTTGATTGTATGCGTTGTCCAGCTTCAGCAGCGATGGTTGCAGGTGCTTGTCCCAACAGTGCCATTGAAAAATGGTGCTGAGATGCAACGGTTGGCCTTAGGGCTCTACAATGTCCCACGTGATCAGGTGAAGGTCGGGTTATGGCAACACATTGTTGGAATTTCATTTTTTTATGGATTTACTTTCCTTCCCAGCCTGGAAGTGAAAGATCGAAGAGAGGGATCCGAGGTTTTTTGTCCTTTGAGAGTGAGTCGTAGTTACTGGGATGTGTTGCATGTTTCAGGCTGTGGTCGATGCTGGCTTAGCTGCGGGTCTGCGCCACTTTGACAGTGCTTCCTTCTACAACAATGAGGCCCGGTTGGTTCAATGGAAGATCCTATTGGTACCGGCTGAGGCCATGCAACGAGTGCTGAGGGCACTCTTGGATCGATCTAGTCATGGCTTCCATCGCTCCAGGTGGAGTGTGGCGAGGCATTGAAATCGTGGATGGCCTCGGGCTGGGAGTCCCAGCACTGCTTGAGGCTTGGATGTGTTGATCCGTTGAGTGGCATGAACAAGGTAGAGGCCCCCCACCGGACATTGGATGTTCTTCCTCTCTTGCTTTTTATCATTCGAAGGGCCAACCTGCCTTATCCTCACTGGGTTTATTGTTTGCATGGATGTCCAGCGAAACTGCGTAGAAACCTTGGAAATTCGTCAGAGAAGCCTATATATTCACATCAATTAGCCTGCTCAGCCAAAAGGTGTACCCTTGAACTGTTCGTTTCACCATAGCGAGGCCCGGAGTGTTGATGTAGAAAGTATGAGGCCCATTGAGGCCCACTGCAAGCTGGTTTGTGTTGGGATGTTCTCAGTTGAGGCGATGAACTCTGGTGTAATTATGTGTGGATCGAGTTGGACAAAGGATTCATGAGGGCAGCTTCCGGGAATACAGTAGCTGTCCAGTGACAAGTCTTTCTCCAGTGCCACATGCCTCAATCTGAAGCCACACCATGTATGCTTCAAAGGCAAGTTGGTTCGCAGGAAGCAGTTAAATTCCAAACAATCTCCACAACATCTTGCAGTAAGATGATCTTTTTTGCTTTGCCCAAGCTGGATTTCTCTTTCTGTTCATCGAATGGATAGGTGCATGACTCGCTTCCCGGTTCCAGGTCACGATCGATCGGAGATTTTTGTCACTACGAAGGCCCTGTGACAATCGGTGCCATAGAGGTGAGAGGTGCTGCTGGTGAGTTCATCAATTAAGGTGGAACTCGTCGTGTTTTGGAAGGGACGCCAAGCCAAAACCCTCCAACCAGTGAGTTGGAAGGGACACCCTTAAACACCGGGGTGAAAGAAGGTCTCTTGTTTCGTTTCGAACACATGGACGTGGTGTGACACGGATCTCCCCGATTCCGGTGAGCTCCGATCTCGATCCGTCCGTCGATCCGTTCGTCGATCTCGACCGGTCGACGGGTGGGGTTCGGGAGGTCTGGACCACCGACCTGGTCGACCCCGAGAGCGCTTGCAGAAGCGCCGCCGCTTCGCGGACGAAGCGCCGCGTCGCCGTGGGCGATGGAGGGGCGACTCCACGGACTCGACATATGGTTTGCAAGCTGGCAAACATCGCAAGGAAAAATCCGGGTTTGATTGCGATTTTTGGGGTCAACGCGAGATCTGAAGGAGCAATTCATCTAGCATCTAGCATCTAGCATCCGTTTCGCCCTGCACGGAACCCTGTCACCGTGCTTCTCCTTCCATACTTTTCAAGCATTTCGTCTCCACCCCCCCCAAACCTCTCGTTCGGCAGGTTTCGTTCGATGATCCGAGGAGATCTCCATTGAGGAGTTGGACATTGGCCCTGTGGATTTAGTGGTGGACCTCAGATTTGTGGGCCCAAATGTTTGTGTGTTCCGCACGTCCTGTGTCGTTCTGAGTTCGGAGCCGATGTTCAAGGTGATGGTCCACTGGCCAATGCCTTCGAAGCACGTGGAGGCGTACGTGGCTTTGGAGAAGCTTGTTCGCAGCGGCAAAGCTAAAGGTTTGGGCGCCTTGGACTTAAGCAGAAGTTCGGAACGGCAGCAGTCGGAGGTGACACGAAGGCTGCCTCATTGGGTTGAAGTCTGGAGCCTCTTTGTTACATCACAGGTTGCATGTGGAGTGTGAAGAAGTAGAGTGTTCTCTATCCCTCTATCCATTGAGAGACCGGCTCGACCATTTCCATGGAACTTTTGACAACAGTGAGCATGAGGTTTGTTGCATGTTTTGGCAGCAAGTGTGGACTGTACAAATTAGGATTCCGATGCTAGACATTTCATCGCGTATTTTGGGCAGTTCTTGGGATCGACATGGATCGACAAACTGACATGTTGTCGACAGGCAATTTGTTTCAGGCATCAATTTACCAGTTGTCTCATCTCCATGGATTCGCGGCATTTTGCAGCGAATGCCCAGCGGCCTAGCAGTTATGCCGTAGCACCAATCCACGACTTTTGCCATTAACTAGCACCTCTGACGGTGCCTTTGAATTGACAAACCCACGAAAAGAATACCAGATTTCCAGTGAATCATGGACATCTGCGATTCATCTCCTGGTCTGTCTATGACTGTCACGGTGACATTCGTTGGGCGGTTTCGAGGCATCTCGAACTACTCTCCAGCGGACTACGAGGAGCTCATGAAGGTAGCGACCATTGAGCCGTCGCTGGGACCGGATCCGACCGGGGGTTTCGGGGCGACGGGGGTTTCGGGGGCGACTCGAGTGACGCGTGTGTTCGAAACTCGATCGATCTAGTTGAAAGGCACCTCTGTAGACCATTTGTTTGGGCACCCCTGTACAGACTGAGAATATCTGTAGAGACTGAGAGGACGGTTTCCTGAGATTTGATCCTTTGGAGCCGACTGTGGTTGGTGAAGCCCGAAGGTGAAGCCGACTGAGGTTGGTGAACACCTTCGAGAACAACCCCTTGCTCTACCGCAAGGAGTGGTGCGACTACTTTCAAGAGAAAGGCCTCATTGTCCAAGCCCGGTGCCACAGTGGCGATAGAAGATGTGAGGATTTGGACGGATTCAAGCGACAGGGTTTTGGATTCTGAGGCTTACAAGCCGTTGCAGCGTGGAGGCGTGTAGCGCAGAGAGAGAGAGAGAGATGATCCAGAAGCGTTTAAACTTGCTTCACAACACCAAGGTTTATCGCAAGGGCCTCCTTGCAATGCATTCTGCACCGATTTGAAAAAAACATCGCAATCACCTTATTTGATTTGGTTGAGAGAATGAGAGGTTCCATTTGTGTTTGAGAGTCTTGAGAGTCTCGTGTTTTAGGCCCTGTTCTGGAGTCTCCCGCGGTGATGGACATTGCGAAGAAAGCAGGGAAGACACCTGCACAGGTTTGCCTCCGGTGGAACCTGGACAAAGGCTGGGTTGTAGAGAAACAGCTGTCTGGGATGGCACCTGAGTTACAGGGCAAGTCTTTAAGAATCAAGCGCGCAGTACATAGAAGCTCTCGGTTGATTGAGTGACTGCTTGATCGAGCCGAGCTCAAATCCTTTTTGCTTTTCAGCAATGCTTTCTGCATCATGAATCATAATCAAGTTCCTTTTCTTCTTTCAATCTCTCCCTCTCTTTGACCATCTCTTCCTCTCTCTCTCTCTCTCTTTTTCTTGAGTTCATTTGTGCCGCAGCACAGCTTGGTTGTCTCAAGACCTTTCAGCTTCAAGGCAGTGACATCACTGCCTTTGTTTTGCCTGTGAAATGTGTCGAACATATTTAACGCCGCTCATGATTCTCATGCCTCTTCTCATTGGCACGGGCAACGCCTTACGTGAATCAGAAGCAAAGCATGATGACTTCCAGGATAGCAACATGACTGGCAATCGCTGTATTGGGTGTGAATGCACCTGGATGCTCTATCAGTGCAAACAGGTTCCAGACCGTGACATTACTTGCAGCAGAGACCGCGGCATTTGTTGCATCAAGGGGACTTTGAGTTACATCACAGAGGAGCGCAACAAGGCTCGGGTGTATGATCACGATGTAGATTATTGCTGCAGCAAGAGGGCCTGGGACGACAACAGGTACTGCGCCCCCTGAAGCAAGAGAGTGCGAGGAAAAGGGTGCATGCGGCCAAATCTGGCATTGGGAGCGGTGATGGTGTTTGGATTTTCTTGATCTTGTGTTCGCTTCCGGCTGATGAAAACCGACCCTGCAGGGAATGCAGTGGTCTTCAAGAGCCTTACTCCGGCTAGGATCCAGGAGAACGCCTTGCCCCCAGGCATGTTTTTGGTTGCAAATTGGATGCACTTTAGTCGAACAACTGGCAAAGACGTAGTTTGCACAGCATTTGCATGTTTTGACAAGCAAGTAGCTCGATCATCTACGGCAGTTACTGACAACATCCACAATTGTTCGACAGGCACAAGATTGAATGGGCAAGCAACAAAAAATTGTATTGGACATCGTAGTAACTATGGTTGAACCACCTGACACCTTCTCAAATGACAGGGCAAACTAGGAGCAAGGACGCTAGTAGTAGCTCCTGGCATTACTACTAGCAGCAAGAAGCTACTAGGAACAAAGGGCATCGCTACTAGGAGCAAGGACGCAACCACAGTATACGAAACCTTCTCCAATGACAATCTCCCAAGCTCTTCCAGTTTACATTTCACACAACAGATCACCTGAGCAGACAACGGGACAACACATTGTCAAGCATTGTCAAAGGCCTTGGCAGATACTTTTACGAACGGTTCCCTTGCGAACGAAGTGCGAATATGGAGAATACGGAGGGCTCGGGGGTACAAGCCTTGCCACAGCACGGGAAATCGTGCGGGCAGGTGTTTGGGGGGGTTGTGGCGGTAGGAGATGTTAGTGATGCCTAGTGATGCGGTTGTTGAAACAAGTCGTGATGTGAGTAGTGCGAAACTCCGAAATCTGCGAAGCCTACCTACCGGAAGGTAGGTGCATAGTGAAGAGTCCAGACATGATGCCCACAACTGCCCGTGCCTATACTGTGTATGATTTTGTGCCTTTTGGTCCAGATAACGGTTCCAAGCACTATATAGCAGGAATAGGGCAGACTATGCATCGGCAGGCAGTAAGAGATTGACGCAGGGAACAAGGGAAGCAACCAGCAATCACAATCGCCAAAGGCAGCACAGTTCGGTGGGAGAGGCACATAAGATCATCGAGATGTTTTCAAGCGGCACGGAGGACACTCTGGGACGCGGAACCCAAATCAAACAGATGACAATACAGTTTCAATGACACGGACACTTTGGAACTTTGGAAGAACATTAGTTGTTTCATGTTGTTTCCAGTTCACATCTTTCTCCAATTCTTCCTGAGGTGGACGTCTTCGACTTTGGCTTGTCAGCAGAGGAGTTGGCCCAGTTGGATGCTCTCACCACGCCTGAGGTCATGGAGGAGGCCCAACGCCCGGGTGCCTGGTCGTTTGCATGCTGCAAACGACTCAACCAGGTATGGTCTAGGGTCAGGTGACCATGGTCTCTAGATGCTCTTTGGAAGGTTCCAAGCCATGCGTGCTGCTGAATCCAGTCATGGAAAAAAGGATCTTCAAGTTAGACTGCAAGAATGCTAGCTGCACATACGAGGGGATTCATTGGAAGGATCGTAAAAAACCTGCAGCGACATACCTTACATGTCTTCGCTTGGTTTGATGGAACAGCTTGTTTACATGTTATGTTCCCAGACCCAAACGCAGACTACATGTTCATTCTATGTGCAATGTGCTCAAGCTCTTGCCCAAGCACTAGAGTGTCCCCGAACAGGGGCACAGGAGCCTGCTGAACAGAGTCAGGTGATCTTTCTTGTGTGCTTGGCAATGGGCTGTGGAGCTTCTAGAGAAAGCATGAACTTGTCACGGGTGGTTCCATGCCATGTGGCAGAAGTGAGCAGTGACAGCGGTGGGAAGCCAAAAGCAGCAGAAGCTTAGAGCCTGATTCTTCCTTTTTTTCTCCGTATCTTCATTATACATAGACGCACACTTGTTTTCATCAAGAAAAGACGTAGGACGGGCAATCAACTGTCAATGTTTTGTTCCCACACCTGAGAAATGAGGAGCATCGAGCAGATGCAAATGCACCAGATCCTCCACCTCACCAAAAGAACCTTCCTCCGCCGGTTCGGGAGCCAGTGGAGTTAAGCTCCAAACCCCACTCCCCAGCTGAAGCTCCGGCGGAAGCGGAGGCTCCGGAGGCTCTGGAGGCTCCGCGTTTGGACATCGGAGATCAGATCGAGTTCGATGATGTGAAGCTCAGCACATACAGGTCATGGACCATGCCCGTGGATCCTCCTCCCCGAAATCAGCCCTTGCCGCCTGGCCCCAACGAACACATGAAGAATGTCCATCGCGTGCTCAGGCTTGCACGGGCAGCCCAGAGACACCCAAGAGCTTTCAGAGTGATCCTGGGAAGAGATCCAGAGTCGGACGAGGAGGTTTGAAGATCTAGGCATTAAGTGGATGGGTGTGTGGAAATAACCACATGCATCCCATATTGTGCCCAACATCCTCAAAGGATGTTTTTCATCAATGAGTTATTAGTTATTTGACTCTGTAGCTATTCCTGTCAGCCCTAAGACTAAGTGGCAATGCCACTTTATGGCACACCACAGCGCTTTTCCCCTAGTCAGGTCAGAAATATGATCTGACTACGTGCTGTCAATTGTGCGAGCTGGACATCAAAAAGCTTTAGTTGGGCGTGTCAGCATAGACATCCATCGAAGGTCAATTTCCTAGTACGCGGAAATATCAGAAGACCATGTGGGCAAACAAAAGGTCTTGCAGCTCACTATGGCACTAGAAACGGTCCTACAGGACTCACGGGACTCACAGGCGCAAGTCGATTGCCCAAAATGGAGGGTCAAGGATAGATCATCGAATCATCAGAAGTTTGTTGAATTTCCGAGCCATAGGGCCACTTGCTTTCCATAGCCTTTACCTTTCCTTGCTTTCCTTCAACCGGGTCTGAGGCCACTGGGAGAAGCGCCGCTGCGGGACTCCTGCTCCCTGGGGCGAGGGTAAGAGGCCCCGGCGCCAGGCGAGCGGGGATGGAGCCTCAACTGGTCACGCCAGACCCTTGGCATCCTTTGCCATCACCGTCTTGGGGTGTTTGGGGGGAACCTGTATCCTCTCGGCATGAAGAAAACCATCGGTCACTGACCGGACTTGGAGCACGAAAAGCAACCAAAACCCACGAATAAACTTACCAAGGGTGTCTCATGATGTAGGTTTGCTTCAGCATTGCATAGTGGGCCTTGCACTGCGCTGTCACTTTGCACAAGGTAACATCAAATGTCTAGGTAATCAGCCACAGGCCGTAGGCTTTCACAAGATCTGGAACCGCCTAGAAGTGCCCCGGTGCTGTTGAGCACTTGCTTGCCAGGAGATTTCTTCATGATGCTGGATTCTCAAGTATGCAATCCAAAAAGTTGCAGGGCTTGTGGAACGACAAGTGCGGTCAAGACCTGGAGGCCTTTATGAATTTACAGAAGGAGCACTAGTGTTTGAGAGACAGCGCAATAGCTTTTTGATCAGAAGCGAATAGACATGTGAGAGACTTGAAAGCGGAAGTCAACAATGGGCCAACGAAACCCAGAAGTTGGGGTCGCACCCCCCAGAAGTTAGGTCCAGAGGTTAGTGATTCAGGGTAACCTATGTGCTTGTGTCCACACTCCAAGCACCCAAATAACCAGCTGTGGAAGACGACAACCTGATTAGAGTCTCTTGGAGATGATCCTTCCACGTCTTTTCAGTTCAACTTCAGCCCTCCGCATCTCTTCTTGGCTCGGGACGCGCTGCGCGTCACGCAGACGCGGCGCTTTTCCGCGCTGGGGCTTACGCCCTCCACGCTGTCGCCATGCCATGCCTTACGAGCGGAGGTGGTCGCGCCGATCCTCAAGCCGCACCTCCTCGAGGTCCTCATCTCGGTCTTCGAGGCGACGGCGATCCAGGTGGGAAGCTGGACTTGGATTTTTTCGACATTTGGTGGATCAAAGTGGTGGACACCAAAGACTTAAGAGAAGGGGGAATGAAGAGATCATCGACATTGAAGGGTGCATCATGCCATCATGAAACCTTTCAAGCACATTGTTACGAAAGCCAGCTGACAAGCTAGGCTGAAGTTCTGTTCTGTAGGCGAACGAAGTGAGTTTTGAGGGTGTGGTGGGTGGTCGAAAAAGGACAGGTTTTGGAAGGGCGAACCCAGAGCCTGCTAGGGGAAGGCAAAACATGCGTCAGTAGAATGCAGCAACGGTTGATACCCTCTGCTATTTTGCTCAGGAAGCTGACCATGGAAAAAAACGATACAGAAAACTTGTAGGAGCAGCAATCCATGGAACACCGTTGGGGAAGGACGCACTAGCTACATGTCTACAGGCTGGTTGAAATGATCTTTTGCTTTCCACATTAGCGTGATTTTTGTAGGTGGCCGGAGTCGCGCGCGCCTTCCATGTTATTGTGTGGTCAGACCCCTGTCAGATCACTTACGCCAACCTGGCAGCTAGAACATACCGGCTTGAGGTTTTGTTAGCACACCCTATTGTATTCTCAGGCTTGAAGGCTTGAAGTTAACATAGTGAAGTGTACCAGTATCTTTTGCATTATCAACTAAGCATGACGGCGCCTTTTGCAGCATCAGCTGGGCATGACAGCATTTTTTTGGAGTGCTTTGGCAAGTTTGGGCACGAGAAAGCGCCCTGCTTTACAGCATTTTCGTGAGTCAAGCCATGTGTGAGTCAAGCCTTACGTGAAAGGAACGATAGTGTGAGCCACAGAGATCTACATGCAAGGAGTCGAAGAAGAGCTGCATTTCTGGTTTGGTGCGCTTACGCGTTGTGTTTGAGGGCCGTCTCGGGGCATAAAAGGGCACCTCTGAATAAGTGGGCGCAGCGCCAAGGCTCTGTGTCGGGCAAAATAACATGTCCTAATAGCGGGCTCTATAGCGAGAAGGCCCCTGACAAAGCGGGACGCAGCAACAAAAGTTTGTCTCGATGCAGGAAGCCGGCTTTCTAGGTTGGTGCCTGGTGTGTTTGAAAACCGTCTCGAAGCAAAAAGGGGCACCTCTGAGAAAGTTTCGACGCAAAAAGCAGCAGGTTATAGCGAGAAGGCCCCTGACAAAGCAGGAGCACATTGTCGATGCAGGTATGAAGACACTGTGACTTGCAGAGACCAGATGCAGAGAGTCGAAGAAAAGCTTTGATGGCGCACTTCGCATTTGCAAAAGAAACTTGAGGGCCGCTGCTGGAGATGAATTGTCCATGCAGACGTGGAAAGAAACAGTGGGTCTAGATGCAAGGAGTCGTGCTTTTTTGGATGGTGTCCTTTTGTGTTTGATGGCCGTCTTGGGGCAAAAAAGGGCACCTCCGAAAAAGTGGGTGCTAGCATTACGTTCCCCAGAAACGACATTGAGCATGAATTTTTGGGTGGCTTTTTGCTAATGTTTGATGGTTGCCTCCGGGAAATAGAGGACACCTCCAAAAAGCGGCCCTCGCGAAAAGTGATATAAGTGAATCTTGTGAACGCAGTGTGTCATACCAGGGGATTCTGTGCGGGAGTGTTGGAGACTGACCCGTCTTGGCGTAACCTGTTGACCTGTTGACCCTGTTCCAGGTCCCGCCGCCGCGACCGCAGCCGCAGCCGGCGCCCCTTTCGACCCTTCCGTTCCCGGGAGCGGTCCCCGCGGTCCCCGCGCTCGGAGCGCTCGGACCGCTCGGCGCGGGAGCGGAAGAGCCGGATTTGCATTCACTGGGAGCGCGGGCATTGCGGGAAGGGCGAGAATTGCAACTTTGCGCATGGAGCACATGAGTTGAGCTCTGTACAGGCAAGTGAGAAATTGGATGTGGTTTGAAGGAGTGGGGAAGGGTAAGGGTAAGGGGCGCATTTTGGCAAGAGCAAAGGCCATGAAAGACCCAACCTGCCAAGAGCACTTGGGCATGAAGGTAGCCATAATCTACATAAAGGGCCTGAAATGTGAGCGCTGGCCGGTCCGTCGCCGTCGTTTGGCCAGAGCGCTTGCCGGTCAGGGAGGCACTTGGAAGACGGTCCTTTGCAAGCACTTTGAGAATGGCACTTGTTCACGAGGCCGGCGGCAGTTGGGGAGTGCGAGTCTTAAGAAGGGGGTGATCCTATTCCAGCAGCTGTTTTGAGGTAGTCTGTGCTCATTTGCGCACGGCGAAGAAGAGCTTAGAGAAACTCGACCGCCAATTGCGCCGTGTGTGGTGTTTGGAGACAACCATTTAAACATATTGAAACAATTATTTGTTAACTGGTTGGAACTATTGGTTGGAGATTTCATGTCCATTCCTGTCACGTTTTACGATGATCCCATAAAAACAGTGTTCCTGCAGCCGATGAGGGTGCTCACACAGTCTTGGGCTCTGAGGACACCTTCAAGACCGTGCGCTGCAAATACTACGAGCGCGGAGAATGCAGGAGCGGCTCCAAGTGCAAATTTGCACATGGCTCCAAAGAGCTTGTCAAGATGGAGATCCCAAAGATTGAGGTCGGTCCGGGGGAGCTTGGCCCTGTAACGGTCGAGGTTTCCCCGCGTGCATGTCACGAAGTGAACATGTTTGTGACCGCTTCGATCACCTCCAGTGGTCAGTTTTCCGCAGTCAGGGGATCGTCATCGGAAAGAATGTCATCAAGAATTCTTAGGTGGTCAAGCATTGCAACATCCTGAATGAGTGTTTCTCCCCATGTCATTGTCCTTATCCTTTTGACCGCCATGTTCCAGGTATGAGTACATGCCCCGGACTGAAAACAATTAAAAAGTCTTGAAAAGAAAAAATAGCAAAGAGTAGATCTTAGATAATAATTCAATAAGCAGAAAGACAACGATATGATGATATGATTATGTATTAATGCCAAGACTAATCAGAGACATACTGTATTATATTGATATTTCATTTATGGATTCTTTTTTTTCATTAGTTGATATATATAAATACACATATTATATTGTATATTTTACTATATACATATATATATCATTGTAATGCTAGGTGCAGAGTTGTTGACTACAAATAGTTCAAAAAAAGTGTAATGATTGTAGAAGAATTCAACTGGACAATGTTTGATTGTACGGAATATACAAATCTCTAAGATAGACTTATAATTGATCGTGTGACCTTCTATCTACGATGCCGCAACCTGTTTCTCAAGCTTCATGGA